TGTAAAGGCCACTGAGCCAATTACATCCCATTATATCTATGCTTCTTACCAGTGACTTGAATCAAACTGACTGATAGTCAAAGTAGAATGACTTTGTTTTAGTACAAATTCTGAAGGCTTATTAAATTTCTATGCAACAACTTGTTATTTATGTGGTTCTTACCTTTGCTGTTGTATGTTTACATAGATATTCATTTTTCTAATTTCTTAGTTGTAATTAGTTACTTGATGTCTAAGAAACACTACAATTTTGTGTACCGTACTTTCCACCGAACACGTCGCACTGCCGTACAAGTCGCATCAGTCCAAAAATGTCTAATAAAGTGGGAAAAGACATAAATAAGTAGCTTTGCCACATAAGTCATGTATTATGCATCACTGCTGACGTGTCGGGTTTGTTATGTGTCACCGCTGACGTGTCGGGTTTGTTATGTGTCACCGCTGACCACCCGGAAACGTGGGCCGGGGTTGCACCAAAAATCAATTGGCTGCAGCCACAGGTGCATGCACCGAAGGACTTTAACAAGAATTTAACAAGATTAACACTTAAAAACAATTATTTGTGTGCTCAAAATTATAGCAAAGGTGTGTCTCAGTTTACCTTCTTAGCTTGACAGCCTCCCTGACCCGGTGTGTCCACCACCGAGTTCGTGGACGGCCACCGCGAGAAGCACCAACAACCTTGTGGCCACAGCTCAAGGCAGCTACCTCAACAAGCGAGGCGCGGAACATGGCCCGCTCTGACTCAATTTCCACTACCTCAGCTGTGATGCGGTTAAAGCTGTCCCGGAGGTGTGAGTTGAAGATCTCTGGCGGGTTCTTCTGCCAGGCGTTCCCAATGAAACTCTCAATAAACATTATTTAGAAATACATCTACAACCCATTATCTATTTAAGATGGCTTCTACGGTCCACTGACTTTAGAAATCAAACACAAAACAGTTTTAAGTCCAGCAATTTTTCAGATATTGAGCTAAACTTAGAGGTAATATCAGCTGAGAGTCATTTGCAAAACATACTTTGAGTGCAAACTTATCACTCAAGATCTTACCGAATGACTCTGCCCCTTTTTAATACGAGTTAGTTTAAAACTTTGGGGTGAAAGGCAGCGGGCGATGGTCATGTCTTCAAGAAATGCTGAGTCTTTAATAAGATACATCAACACTGAGCAAAAATGAAAAAAACGAAACACTTGTTTTTGCTCCCATTTTTCACGAGCTGAACTCAAAGATTTAAGACTTTTTCTATGTACACATCAGGCCTTTTCTCTCAAATATTGTTCACAAATTTGTGTAAACCTGTGTTAGTGTGAACTGATAAAAGGTCACTCTAAAATGTGCAATTTTAGCACAGAACAATGCCACAGATGTCGCAAGTTTTTAGGGAGCATGCAGCTGGTATGATGACTGCAGGAGTGTCCACCAGAGCTGTTGACCGTGAATTAAATGTTCATTTCTCTACCACATCTCTAAAGGCATTTCAGAGGATTTGGCTGTACATCCAAACGGTCTCACAACCACAGACCACATGTAACCACACCAGCCCACATCCAGCATCTTCACCTCCAAGACTTTTCTGAGACCAGCCACCCAGACAGCTGCTACAACAATCAATTGGTGGGGGAGTGGTGGCGCAGAGGTTAGAGAGGTGGGCTTGTGATCTGAAGATCGTCGGTTCGCGCCCCGGCCCCGACAACATCAAAATTGTGGGTGGGGTAGGTGAAACACCCACACTTGCCCCCACCCTCATTCGCCCCACTCTGGGCCCATGAGCAAGGCCCTTAACCCCCACCATGTGCTCCCTAAACAGGTCTCTCTTGAAAATGAGTTCTCGTGGCTCAATGAGACTAACCTGGATAAATAAAGGCTAAATGAAAATGAAAAAAAAAAATTAGCTTAACAAAATAATTTCAGTATAAACTGTCAGAAACCATCCCAGGAAAGCTCATCTGCATGCTCATCGTCCTCATTGGGGTCTCCACCTGACTGCAGTTCATGGTGTAACCGACTTAAGTGGGCAAATGCTCACATTTGATGGCGCATTTCAGATGGAGAGGTGTTCTCTTCACGGATGAATCACAAGTTTCACAGTACCGGGCAGATGGCTGATTGTGTGTATGAAGATGTGGATGAGCAGTTTGTCAGCGTTGTGAATCAAGTGGCCCATGGTAGCGGTGGGGTTATGGTATGGGCAGGTGTATGTACTGGACAATGAACACAGGTGCATTTTATTGATGACATTTTGAATGCACAGAGATACCATGAAGAAATATTGATGCACATTGTTGCACCATTCATCTACAACCATCACCTCATGTTACTGCATGATACTGTATGGCCCCATGCTGCAAGGATCTGTACACAATGTGCTGAAAACATCCCAGTTCTTGCATGGCCAGTATACTCACCAGACATGTCAACCATTGAGCATGTTTGGGATTATCTGGAATGGTGCATGCCATTGGCAAAAACCAATGCAGATGTTCCTGTTTTTAGTATTCTACATCGCTTTACAACCTAGCTGTTTTTGTTTTGTTTAAAGATGACCATTTTCTTTCATTTGATCTTCTCAATTTGTATGTTTTCTTTTATGATTGTCTACTGTTGTCTTTGTTTTCTACTGTTATTATCACTTTTTGTTAAAATCAGGCCTCTCTTGTAAATGAGTACCCGAGGCTCACTGGGACTAACCAAATGCACTTTGGTAACAGTTCCTGTTTTAAATGTGCTATACAAAGAAATTTGACTTGACTTGACTAACCTGTGTAAATAAAGGTTGAATGAATGAAAAAATACAACAGCGTGTTCCAGTTCCTGACAATATCCAGGAACTTCAGGCAGCCATTGAAGAGGAGTGGACAAACATTCCACAGGCCACGATCAACAGCCTGATCAATTCTATGTGAAGGATCTGTGTTGCACTGCATGAGGTAAATAGTGGTCACACCAGATATTGACTGGTTTTCTGACCCCCAATACATCCACCCATTCATCCATTTTCTTTACCCACTTCTTCCATTTCAGGTCACGGGGATGTCCATATCCAGCAGTCCATATGTGAGAGGTGGGGAACACCCTGGACAGGTCTCTAGTCCACCACAGGGACAAGACAAACAACCATTCACTCTCTCACTCACACCCAGAGACAATTTAGAGTTACCAATCAGCCTAACATGCATGTTTTTTGTTTGTGGGAGGAAACTGGAGTACCCCGAGAAAACACACACGTGCACAAAGAGAACATGTAAACTCCACCCAGAAAAGTCCCCAGCCTGGATTCGATCTGGCGACCTTCTCGCTGAGAGTCAGCAGCTCTACCAACTGAGCCACCGTGCCGCCTACCCCTAATACAGTAAAAGTAAAGAGTGACCTTTCATTGTGGCCAGCCTGCCACCTGTGAGGTAGATGGATTAACTTTGCAAAGAAGAAGTCCTCACTAACACAGATTTACTAATAATAATAATAATAATAATGTGTTATGTATTGTCATCATTATATGTTCCCAAACAATGGCATCATTAGCGCTCTGCTTTTAACCCATCCACCACCAGGTGGAGCAGTGGGCAGCTATGGAAAGTGCCCCGGGAGCAACTGGGGATAGGATGTCCTGCTCAGAGATACCAGGAGATGTGCAATGATCCCGGATCAAACCCGGGACCTTCGGGTCCTGAGTCAGCTGCCCTGCCTCGACACCATCTCGGCCCCCATATTTACACAACTTTGTGAACAATATTTGAGAGAGTTGCATTTATATTTTTGTTCAGTATTTCAAGTTCAAGTAGTTTTTATTGTCATTCGCCACATGTGGTACATGAGGTGGAATGAAACTGTGTACACAAGGTCCTAGTTACATCCAACAATAGCACAAATATAAAGTGTAAAAAGAAACTGTAAATAAGGATCTGAGATATAAACTAATATATACACTAAATGAACGCCAAATGATACGCTAAAAGAGCTAAGACATACACTAAACTCTAATAATGTAATACAAAACAACACGGCATAACAACAGCCGCCATGTGCTTATGGAGTTGTGAATACTGTTTTATTTTATATGCTATTTACTAATATGTATTACTTATATAAACATTTATTACATATATCAATATCATGTCAAACTATTAATAATACACTGCTGTTAAATATTTTGTGTAATAAATAAAATATTAATTAAAGATGAGGGATAGGATTAAATCAATTTATACTTCTCCCTCCTCCTTTTCGAACAGATAATATGCTGGAAAGTTATTTATCTGCTCACTTGATTTAGATTTTTCCCCCATTGTGTTTCTACTTTTGAACGGGTCTATTTGTGTTTTTGTTATTATTTTAATTTTTTTGTTGTAAAGGCCATTTTAACCTGTTTGGGGAATAATAATAATAATAACAATTTTAAAATGGTTAAAATGGATAAAATAAATATCCTTTCATCATCTGTTTCCTCAAATAATCCACACTGAGGGCACAAGAAGGTTTTATATACTTGCAAGGGCAGAGGTCACACCGATGTTCAAAAAGTTACATGCTCAAAACCCGGGGGGTGAAGATCTGCCAGCGGACAGTGAGGCAGGAAGTGTTTTTATAATTCTCAGACGGGTGACCTGCGTCTGCCAGCTGTACAGACTCCAGTCGTCTCCTCCGAGCAGACAAAAAGAACTCTCTGCACATTCATTTAACATTAGTAGGTGACGAACATCCAACCTTTACCAAAACCCCCTTGACACAATCAGCTGCAGATTCAGTCAGATCATGAACAGCTTTTCACTCGTTATGACAGAAACAAATATTTTAGGGACAGAGGATGAAATTTGTTCATGTGTAAAAACTGGTTATAAAATGTCACAATGTGAGTCCAGCTTAGTTTAATGTAAAGATGCTGCTGTTTGACAGATGAGCTGTTTCCTCCTGACTCCGAGCATTACATTGGGGGGTGGGGGGTTCCGGCTGGATCGCTGGGCGGGTTCTGGGCGGGTTCTGCCTTGTTGTCCTCCTGTAAAGGTTCCTCTCCGGCACCGCACGGTTCAGCCCAAATCAGAACCGAGCTCAGCGTCGAAGGCAGACGGACGGAGGAGACGAGCGGGGGGGAGGGGGCACTCGGGGATTAACAAGCCGTCCTTGGCGCATCTCCTCCGGGTGCGCTTGGTTTTGGATCGCGGCGCCTCCTCGGAGCCGGAGGAGCCACAGCAGGAGGTTCGGAGCGGAGGAGACCGAGTGTATGGAGGCTGGCGGCACAGACAGCGTGCCCCCCGGCCAGGAGAGCTGGGACCCCGCCCGGCCACAGCTTCCTGCCTCAGCTGACGGTCACAGCTGTCACCCAGGTAACATGGAGGGCTGGGGGGGTCTGACAGCCTCAGTCATTTACAGTCAGTACGATCAGGACACTGCATATCAAAAGTTTTATTCAGAGCTATCCAACATTATATTATTATAAATACAGAGGTTAATGCAGCACATTGTTCTGACTGATTTAATAATCCCAATTTATGCCTTAATGCTTTACTGCCTAATGTTTTAGTGTTGTATTTAAAATGTTTTGAGACATTTTATTTATCATAATGTAACTGACTTATTCAATTAATTATTATTATTATTATTATTATTATTATTATTATTATTATTATTATTATTAT